ACGAAGCCGATAGCGGCAGATTCAGCTGGCAATTTCTTTTTCAGGACTGTTGCTCCCCAGGTATGCTTCAGATTTAAGAGAACATCATCAGTTGATGTTCTCTTAAAGTAGATGTTGTTGTTGAACAGAAGAGGACCGAAAAGAGAGCTTGAAGCTTGAAAAGATAGCTTATGAGAGATGGGGGACTGAACTGCACCGCTCAGATTGGTGAATTCTCAATTATTCTAAGTATCTGTCCTCCTAAACCGGTTTTGCTACGTGCCTCAAGAGATGCTCGTCCAAATAGGTCTGAGCTATGTGCCTTCTTTTTTGCCTTCTCACCAAAACAGCGCGAAATATGTGAACCCGAGGAACATGTAAGTGAACGACGTGAACAAGCCTGGCTTGATAGTTGACCCAACCAATGCGGGTAGCGCCACGCCATTTACTACAGTAACCCATTGCGTACCGCGGCGTTTTCGCGAAAACGGGCGCCTGTGGCCGACGCCTTTTTGTCGACGCGACTCGTGGCGCGCCGAGTATAAACAAATGTGATTTTTTCATATACATATGACATAAAAATAATGCATATACTTCGTATTATACATTACACTTGTATGCATGACTATGATAAGTAAAATTGGATACCATTACGTGATAAACGTGATGGGCTAAAAACATGCGAAAATTGACAAAAAGGTTGATAAATTCAAGAAGGATTGGAAACAGGACGTAATATGTTTATAAATTGTTCAGCTTTACTATTTTGCGAATTTTTAGTGGAGTCACAGCCAGAGTTTGGCTTGACTGGTTACTAAGAAATAAACAAAGGATATAGTAGCTGAAGAATTTCACGAAAAATTTCGATAACTTGTTTGGTGCCGCAATTTCCTCTAGTTTGGTGCCGCAATTTCCCCACACATATATTTCTTTCCGGAAGACTTCACAAATATAGTGACACTCTTGATTCAGCGAACAATGCTAAATAAGTTCAAACGAAGCGTGCTGTACCACGGGTAGCACGCGGCCATATAGAGGTAAACGGGCGTGCTGCACACGGTGCAGCACGCGGTAGGCAATGGGTTAAAGTTAAAATTTCAGTAATAACTGCATCATTTGGAAACTGCGAAGCGGCAAAACACATCACTTACAAGGGAGGTCGTTCAGGGCGTGGTGCGCTTTTCGAAAACGGTTTTGTTGCATATTGTAGGGGCTCATGCAAGGACCTGAAAAGTGTGCTTCATTTTCGCTGCGCGCTTCCAGGAACGGTAAAAAACGAGTGAAAAGAAATCTTTGGAATCTGCTTCGTTCTGGGCCTCTTTACGGCGTAGGTCACTTGCAACTTTGACCAGTTGCTGAGTGGGGGTCCTTATAAAGGGGCGTTTGAATCGAAGCGAAAAATCGCCGTAAGTGAGCTTCCAACTTGGGTCATGTGCTCAAGGGTGAACGGCTTCTTGCAATGGTTTCATCAACGATAAGAGCGCTAGCAGTGTCGAGCATCGGATGGCCTAGCGGATAGAGTGGAGGTTTCGCAATCGGACAGTGAGGGTGGGGTTGATGGTTCGGCTCCCCTTGCGTCGTGGCTTTTTGCATTTTTAGATTTCGCTGTTCTCGCTTCCATTTCTGTCTGCGCATGAATATAACTCGGATATTTGCCATTTATGGGCACATTCTGAGTAGCTGTACCTCATGAGTCAGTGCTATTCAACTATTTCGATTTTCACGCACCATTGAACAAGATTGTTGCTGGACGTTGATCCTCATAGGCTGTAACTAAGTTGGAATCTGATTGCGAATTTAGTAACTTATGGGTGTGAATTATAGACAATTTGGGGCCACATCTTCTTTCCACTAATTCGTTATGTACACCAATGTAGGGAACGTTCACCGCTATTCTGTCGCCAAATTGCGTGGACGCCAAGAATAGGAGTTATATTTGTGATCAGGACCACTGATTACCCTAAAAACGAATTTTTGGTTAAAACAATTGTTTTGACCTTCTTGGGTTTGCTTATTGGGTTGTCCGGTGTCCGTAGCGCCAACGATACGTCATCGCTGTTACGAAGATGTGAGACTCCGCTCACACTGCCGACCAAATGGTCGGACACCTACAACCCGAAAAAGTCAAAAATTTTTTTCGCTGAAAACTTGTTCCTAGGGGTAATCGACAGTCCTGATCACGATTCTAGACTTTATTTTCGGTTCCAGTGCCATCTGGCACCGGCATAGCGCCGAAGAGCTGAGTCTGTGCATACTAACGAATTCGAACGAAAAAGCAGTTTTGCTCCATAAAAGTAGGATTGTTCAGTTTATCGTGAATGTTTTTGTTAGGACCAATTATTTAGACAAACATGGATCCAAAAAATGAAAAATTGTAGAAAAGCAAAATTTTGTCCTCGGTGGGATCCGAACCATCGACCTATTTTTTACGTTTTTTTTTATTCGTAGAAGCGCGCAGCGAAAATGAACCTCAGTTTTCTGGTCCTCGTATGTGCCCCTACAATATGCACAAGAAAAAGCTCACCACGCCCTGAACGACCTCCCTTGTTAGGCACATCATCGCTCACGAAAGTACCACAAGAGTGCTAAATGATGCGTTAAAGGCAACTCAGACTTAATGACCATGTTCGTAGGGCTAGGACCTTAGAGATCGAATATGGACATTACGTTTAACGGTCTAGTGCACACTCCAATACACCATAGTTTTGCCACTTCTGCCTTTCACGCTCTCAGCATTATTACTGCTTTCCACAAGGCGTGGGCTTTACAAAAGGGTGAATCGTATAGGAGCTGCAACCCACTTTAGGGGAAGAAGAAACCGGATTTTTGGGAAGGAACCAGGCCTGAAAGTACAGCAGCTCCACAAAACTCATCTTCGGTATGTTCTGAAGTCTCGATAAATTCAGCTCGAGTGGACAGCACACGACTGTGATTAGAGAGTATTTTCAAGAAAACAGCTCATTTTACTACAGGCAGCACAGCAAACAGCGACAGTGGAGGCTATAGATGACACAACCACGACATCCAATTTCACTGCCATGTACAGAACCGTGAACACCACTCTTGAGGAGGTAGTGTGTTCATTCATACAAATCGTAACCCAAAAGTTGAAGGGTGAGTGGGAAGGGTAAAGCAATAAGTAGTGCCTTGAAACAAACTGTTCATTCCCCTGCGACGGTCCTCCCCATGTGAGAGGTGAATGAGCTGAAGCTGCAGTAGTGTGCCACTTTCTCCGCTCAAAAGTGCACCGAAACGGGCTGGAGGTAGTGATACCCCTGCTCCGTCTCCTAAGGTGAGCGGGAGAGCCCAAGCAATAAGTAGTGCCTCTAAAACGAAGGTGCATTCATCTCCGGGGTTGGTTATTCCCATGTGAAAGCTGAATGGGCTGAAGCTGCATTAGCATGCCACTTTCTCCGCTCAAAAGTGCAGGCGAACAGGCTGGAGGTAGTGATACCCTACTCCGTATCCATACTTCGCCCACGCTACTGCACGGCCAACCACGCGCCTGAGCATAGCCAAACGTGCTGCTTTTTTGCACTATCTCACTTCTGGTTGTTCTCTAGAGCTGGGTAGGTGCTTTGCTGTGATACTTGGTGTCAACCTGTGCACAGACGGTGTATGGAGACTGTTCTCGAGTACCACTATCCTGCAGCCCCTTTCCCTTGCACTTGTGGGGTGAGGGAGTGGCATGCTTTTACGGACCCAATCGCCTCGCACATGGCTGGTTCTTTCTCGGAACGGAGTATACAGGCAGTGCACTAGAGAGATCATTAGTGCGTTTACGGGAAAGGGGCTTTTTTGCGTATCCACCAGTTCCCTCCATTTTCGTGCAATTATCTGACGACAAGTCGAATTCTATCCCATTTTAGGTTACCGGTGCAGGCGATCCACAAGAAAGTTTATTGAGCACTACTGATTTGACTGTCAGCGTGACCGATGCTAACATCGGCAGCAATAGCACCGCTGGAAGCATCAACGTAACCGACAGTGCGGTTTTCAACAGTACAACTGTTAGCGACGTCAACACCGCTGACAGTACAACTGTTAGCGACGTCAACATTACCGCTGTCCACCCAAGCAACACTTCTGTAATAAATGAGTCTTCAAGTGTGCTGCCTCGGACCGCGGCACCGCCTACGACAATAGTGGTGACAAGAGCTCATTCATCAACAAAAGCTGAACTAACTGCCTCCAAGCGTGAGCCAACTACACAGGCGACTACTCTTTCTGAGGTAAGGAAGTTGTGATGTTTTTTGAGTTGTAGGCATAACCTGCGCAATACGGTACGTAACAGGGTAAGCTAAAGGTTGTGTCAGGGTCTGTGGGATGGAGCAGGGCGGCAGCCACGTTCCTATCAGGAGTTACAGGTCTGACTCCTCGACTATAAGTAGAAAACGTGACCGCTGTTGTGCTCCGGCGCACCCTCCCTGCCCGCCTTATCACTCGCGCAATACGGCTTAGTGGGAGCGCCGAGAGGTACTCCGCTTGCACGGGTCACCTTGTGGAACCTGTAATCCTTGTAACCAACGTGGCTCACAACCACTGTTTCGCGGCTTCACAGGAGTTTTCCTGTTCCACGGAAATCGGACTTGTTATTTGGCATGAATTGACAAAGGGAATTAGCAGAAGCGCGAAATGCCCCCTCCAAGCCGAACAGCGCCTTCACCGAGGCTAAGGAGGCAAATTCTGAATGGCCAGCCAATGCAGGCCCTGGTGTGCATGACTAGATAGCCATCTAGAACCTATCCCCGTTCATCCCACCCACATCTCTGCCACTCCTGTGTGATCTATATAAGCGTTTTTGAGTGGGTTCTAGTACCTCTCATACACTACTATACCGACTTGTCAAGGGAGCGTATGAGAATAGCGCGGTACTCTCCCTTGGTGGGTTTCATGAAGTAGGCACGATTTGCACTTATTTTTGTGAGGCACCAAATGGTACTCACATTTCTGTCAGGAAAGAGTACATGCCATATCGAAGCGCATGGAGAGGGCGTGGTTATGCACTAAGTCGTGTGAGCAACGGAGGCTGTGTAGGCAGCCAGCCTAGAGCAAACAAGGCAAGAGCTGCCTGAGCTCTCTTATTCGCACACTGTAAATTGTGTACACTGGTACGGAACACTGCCGCACTCGCAACTGCCGTTGACACTTGATAAGGGAGTAAGGGACACTCCATGCTCACGCAGTGGACGAACGCCGGCGTCTAATAAGCTCCATTCAGACTCAGTTGTTTTACAACACTTTACAGAAGACAAGCAGCACAACTGTTTCGGGATCTGCGACACCTTCTCGGAAGACATCTGCTGCTCCGCCCAAAAAAACTCGGTCTTCAGCTACAACACGAAAAGCTACTTCGGAGCCGTTCACCGAGATGGTCTGACTTTTTTAACTGACCACAAAATGGAAGGTCACTGGCATGTAACTGTATCTGCTCCGCCTTCGCAAAGTACACTGGCTGATTGGCCTTTGAAGGCGAGCAATATCTAGTATTGGTGCGTTGGTGCGAAGAATGCTCACGAGAAGGCTATCATATGGGCCTCTGACGTGTTTGTAATACCTTGGTAGGATAACGCGGTGGATCTCGAGCAACTGACCACTAAAGGGCCTCCTTAGAACGAGTTGATACTTCGTGACTCGAGCGATTCAGTCACGCGACTGCGACTGACGCTCCACCGCTGGTAGCTAGATTGTTGCAATATCAGAACGCGTTTAATCCCGCTGGTCATTAAATTAGTAGTTGCTCCCGTCCGGAGATTGGCGGTAGCTTAGTTGCAAAATTATGATGCCCAATCGCGGGACTGAATCGCAAACTATGAACGCAGCTGGAGAGCCGAAGGAAATCTTCACAGGCTGCTCACAAAGGTCTCCCTGGAAGCTCCCTGCTCAATCCCAGAAGTGATCTGTGCCTCTAAGGATTTTCTGCTAAGAGTTATAATGCAGCAGAATCATGCTGTGTAAAGAGTCCTTGACATATGAACTGCACCTGTTTCATTTAAGTTACAGTAGCTTCTGATTGTAAGGAAGGAAAGAGCACTGATAACCTTGGAGGGTCATTAAATGACTCACTGTCAAAGCTCAAAGATAGGATTACCATCATCTCGACGGAATCACTGTACGTGAAATTGGTTCAAAAGGTCCACCTACTCCATAACTCCTTCTCCTCTCCCCTGAGGCCCAGACAAAAGTCCTTATCTCGATGGTATTTGTAGTTTCGAACTGGGGTTCTTGGAATGCTCTTCGACCTAATGTTACCTGGATCTAAAAGTGTTGACTTGTTTACCACACGGAGGACGCAATTGATAATAAGAACATCTAGAGTGGCCGATGTGAACGATAGTTTAATGATAAAGGTCATCGTAGCTGTGAACTTACACGCCTCATGATCCAAAGTATCATTTGAATGCGTGGCGTATCCTAGAAACGATGACCAACTCGGACCAGCTCGTGGTATATCACTTTTGTATTCCAGCCTGAAGAAGTGGAGACACCGCTTGTCGAAGAATCATATGTCATCCCGATTTACGAAAAAAGATACAGGTAGCTACAAATTTTCGGTATAACTGAGCCATTTTTGCTTTGAAGAGAAATTCTGCGGTGATCCTGGGCAGAGAAGTCTGAATATGGACTGTAGATCTTAGCTGAATCACTCATGAAAGAAAAACCAAATAGTAAAGCTGAGAAGGGTCCTATAGAAAGTCCTCCCTTTGCGGCTGATTTCGAGCAGCGGACATGCCGTGAGAGGAGGAAGGTACGGTTGTCCCAAAAGTTCTGGGACACTTTCAGACTTTTTTCCGAATTAAGTTTATTCCAGTGGGAAGCAATTTTGATCAGCTATATGTATGTCACCTTCATTGGCAACTTGTTGCCAATCACTACGCAATGTGTGGTTGCCCTGCTTCCAGAAGCCTCTTAGTTCTGTGGCCAGAAAGGCAGCTGGGTCATTTTGAGGTACTATCAAAAATCGTTTTTTTACCAAGAAGATGGCCGCTGTGGGATTAGTTTAGATGGTTGTCGGAAAGAGCTAAGTCAGGGCTACACGAAGACTGTGGTGGAATTCCCCAGCTAAGCTTCGGGATCTCGAGCAGTGTCGTTTTTCCAAATGTTGACCGCCGAGGTGTGGTGGAGTAGGCAAACATTGCTCGGTTTTGGGACCAAATGGTAGAGATTTTCCACCCCACTTTGCAGTTGATTACAATAGGGCTCCCTGGTTACCATAGCGTTGGAAGGAGGGAATTCCGTTTCGAGAGCGGAGAAAGGTACCCCACCACATACACAGCCTCACCGCCCTACTGGATTGATAGGATTGCGCGATCGGTTCTGCCCTTTCTGGGGATCTAGCCGCTGGCGCTCCCAGGAGTGATTCAACTAGAGGCACCCACTCCATATCCAGTTACAGTGCTGTTCAACCAGCCTGTACAGCGGAAGAGGGAGAGAAGTTGTAGACAGTACCCACATGTGCTCCCCTTGGAGTACTGGTCAACTCATGAGAAAAATTTTGATCGAACTTCATAACTTTTCTAAGGGAGCGAGGCCTTCTCTCATTTGTGCTTTGGGACCAGTCAAGTGTAAGGAATAGATAGCAAGTTGATTTGTACGTGATTCGGTTTTAATGCAGGACACAGTAGGTCTCAAATCCCAAGGCAGGTAGACTCCTTTGGACCGAGAGTTTTTCACGGCCGGATCAGAAGTCAGCAAAGCAGAAGCAATTGAGGGGCCATTCAAAGGCACCGTAACTGGGATGGAGCTAACATCAAGATGCTAAATAAGCGGAACATGCGCCGCTTATGGCTCGAACCACGTTGTGGCTTGGTAGAGATTCATATAGCGAAGTGTGTCGAAAATGATGAATTTCAATTACCGTTTTTCATATGAGAACAGCGACTGCGAGGGACGGTGAAGAAGCTGTGGAATGCTTACCTCACACACTTCCCATAGACCACATAACTGGATCTCGAAATGGCTGCGGAAAAATCTGATACGAGATTCAAAAAGTGTCCCAGAACTTTTGGGACAACCTAATAGAAGCGTAGCGGATGGACCAGAGGGAATGGACAAGAATGCGGAGACTACTGCGCCAAACCGTGGGCAGCGTTACTGTAAAAAGCAGCTCCCGCGATCAAAAGTCTCATGGATACCGCTTTCGCCATTATGAAGCAGCAAGCTGATAAGTGAGATCTCCCCGAAAGAAAGAAATCAGGCGAGAAAGCGTTATCTCTCTCAGAACCAACATAAACACAAAATCGCTCCCTCACAGTTACACCTCCCTGCGGTCTCTGTGCAGCCCCTAGCTCACAAATCTCTCTATCACATCTCGCAGTAGTTGATATCATCCAGTGCAAAAGAAAGAATACAAAAAGAAAACAAAAACGCAGAGGAAAAACTCTGGGAAGGAAAAAGGAATTTTATCAACACGGTGTCTGAATTTGTGATTACGGTAGCGCGCCTTTTGTGCGTCGTGGTTTTGCATCACGAAAATTGCGTCACTCGTGTTTTTTACGCGTTTCACCTCGCGAAATGGGTTGAATTGAATGTATATACCTCCAATGAGTAAACTGTAATGAAGGAGAGCAGAATTATCCAGGGGCATTAGCAATGCCCGCCGCCCCAACTAAGAACAAGTGAGTGGCCTCCGTCGGAGGACATCTAGCAAGTAAAGGCGGTCCGACTGAGGAGGAGTTAGAACTAGCACTTTGAGCGGCTATAGCAGCCTCCACGCTCACAATAGAGTCGCGAAAGGTGAACAGTCTTCTAGCTTGAGGTCGTAAGTCAGCTGATCAGACTTTTTTGGCATCGTCGCATTGTCCTAAACTGTTTTTCGCGCATATATGCAGCCGCTGCTGCACGCAGTTTAATCGAAATAAGTCGGCTGTAGAGATGTAGATTGCGAAAAGAGGTTCGTGTTCAGAGGAGAAACTACTAGGGACTTACTTCAAGTCACGATGATACCAAAAGCATTCCGGATTACTTGGCGGGTAGAACCTGGCTGGTGCGCCTTAGTTCTCACCTGCCAAGTAAACCAGGAATGGTGCTCCCTAAGTCATGATCGAGAGTAGTGGAGACACTATCTTTCCGTATGGAAATATATGATTCCAAATAACGCATTTTTTCAGCGACTGGTTGTAATAGTTGGCAATCATCAGCTCGGGATCTGTGGCGCTATTCTTGGCGCGTCATACGCGCTTGACGATCATATGTAATGGACCTTAGACGGCTTTTAGCAGAGCCCTAATCAAAACTTGCCGATTAGTTGATACTCTGTTTGAAGATCAATGTATTTAATTCACTATCTCACTTCTATGTGCATTACTCAATTATATCAATGATTTATGAATGTTTAAAGCAACATGTATTAAATATCTGTGAAATAAATGCAGTTGTCCAACTGGAACAGAGCAAAAAATTACGAATTCAGAATAGTAGGTGTGTACAGTATTCCAAAACTGCGCGTTAAATTAAATGTGTTGGTCTCGTCAACGCAGCTGACGCACAGATCTCACATTGCGCGAATCTGCGACTCTGTCGCTGTGGAGTCGAAAACGGCAGGGGTCGCACTCGACTTAATTGTATTTTTTCATTGTTGACTTTTTCTACTTCAGACGCGCTGTACCCCCCCCCCCCCGCCCCTACCTTACCAACCACGTGAGACGCCCAAGATAATCGCAGTCGCCGCCTGGCGATGGGCATGGCGTCTTTTTAATTGACATTAGCCTGTCGATTAGAGCAGTGGATTCATGTAGACACAGAGATCATAGACACTCATGGCTATTTTTGGTTAGAGTTTGTCTATTGTGGCTACTACGACCTGGAAACACCAATATTTGAAGGCACGCGCCACCGCGATGCATACCAGCGCGGCGAATCATGACTGCATCGTCACATACCCCCGTCGCTGCGACCTGAGTTGTGGGGGAGCACATCGCCCTTGCTTCCCAGCCTTATCGTGGAGCTTTCGTCCCACTCCCGTATAATGGGAGATTGATGAACTAGCAAGTGTAACCGTGGAAAACCTACGAATTGTTCTTTATTTTGCATGAAGCACTTCTGACCGTGACATTTCTTCTGAAACAAGACAACAACCGGCTTCTAAGTGGCTCATCTGGGGTCGTACGCTATACTTCCCTCGAGGGAGATATCGCCTAGTAATCCTCCACTCCCTGCCCTTATCTCTGGTGATGCCTCTCTTCTCTCTGGCTCTCGCCGGCCTGCATCCATACTTTTCTGGAGCACTCTCTGAGCAAGTATAGTAGAGCGCAGAGAATAATCGATCTCTTCCCCTCTCCCATAACACATGCCGTCGAGGAAGATTCCGGGCGACTGTGCGGAACAGAGATGCAGGGCTGAAGCAGGGAGACGATGGGTATTGATGGAGATAACGGCAGT